TAAAAACTATAGATGCAAAGGGGTGAAAATTAAGATGACAGGCAACCTCACGTTCAGAATTTCCTATGACTCATGTGTACTTGACTCTGCAAGCATATCTTGCTGGGATCCTATGACACCAGTTGACTTCCTGCCCCTGGGGCAGGGGGCTGGACTTGATCTTCCGAGGTCCCTTCCAGCCCCAATGTCTATGAAATCTATGAAGTAACAACCTTTTAACCTGGTTTAATTTTATCCAACATCCTTGGCTAGAATGAGGAAGCTGGAAAAAAGTTAGTCTGATCAGGTAGTGACACTGCTTGGACCCCTGGATGCACAGTAAAGACCTCTGCCACCTGCATTATGGGCACAACTGGTGGGCTTTTCCCTGGGGCTAGCTAGTAGAGACAGATCAGATGCATACTGTGCCAGCCACAACAGAGCACAGGAGGGAGACTCCCTGCTCCCCCAATTCAGATACCCAGAGCCTCCTCGCAACCCCCAGCCACAGAAGACCTCTTCAGCTCCAGGCTTGGCAGCACAAGTGATGGAACAAACAGGTGACAAATGAGTTCACTTCTATGCACAGCAACAGGTAGACATGTGACAAGTCACTCCTACAAACAAGCCGACCTACCGAAACCGAGTCAGGATCCACAGAAAAGGCAGCACAGCTTGCAACAAAGGATCACGCACACTTGTGCACGAGGGCAGTTAGGTTTGACTCTTTTGGGTTCCCCACAGAGATGAAAACATTCCTGCCCCAGGCCTACTGCAGACTGGTGGCTGCAAGAAAAGCCTCGAACTGTCATTGCCAGCATGTTGTCCAGCACCGGAGCAGCCTGCAGATTTTCCAAACCTGCTTGAAGCAGTGACCTCTGCCGGCCAACAGACAGAACTGAAACTCAGTCTATAACAGCATTTTTCAACCTGCGGGTTGCAAGAATAAGGGTCGCAAACAAACTTTAAAAATGAATCAACAAACTTTAAAAACGGATCCTCCTGTAAAGGAGAAAAATGTGGGAAACTGTGGCTTTTCCTTTGCAAGCTGGCAGAGTTCCAGCCTGCGAGGGGCTGCTTGGGGCGCCCCCATGCCCCACACACCCACCCTCTGCCCCTCATACTAGAGGGGCTGGGGGCAGCAGGTTGAGAGGGAGGGGCACTGGGTCAGAACTGGCCATTGATGTTTACAAATGGGTCCTGGTATAAAAAAAGGTTGAGAACCGCTGATGTATAAAATGAGTTACCTCCTTTTTTCTACACAATACATTTAACTACACTGATCTCTCATCTACCAATCTCCCAGTGCTCCAAAACTCACTCTCAGCATTACACAGGACTACCATAGATCAACTTGATATACAACTGCATTATAATAGAGCAATCTTTAGACAGGAATTATAACCGTGTGTTGCAAAGTGCTCCATAACCCCAACTCTTCACCATTGTCATCCTACAAAATTGCCCCCAGAATCAGGTAGCCTTGTGCGCCAAGGTATGCAAAAAGGGCCACCTGGTGAAATGGCCATGCTAACCTGCAGAATGCATGGCTCTCAGCAGCTGTAGCCTGGCTACTGCCTGAAAAGCTACTTGAAAAGTTAGGGGCCACAGGATACAAATGGCTTACTGTCCACCTTCTCTCCAGAAAGAAGACACACAATAGCTCTTCCAATCGAGACCGTTGTATTCAGACACCCACCAGAAATTGAGACCCAGCAAAAAAGTCTTTTCAGAGGGCAAAGCACTCAGAGCAACCAGGTATTTTTGATACCATTGGACCAATCGCTATTGACCATTCGGCTCATTCAGATCCTTTCCAAGTTAGGACTTGTAGAGGATATATGGAGGTGTTGATAAAATAAGTAAATAAAATCCCATTTCACTGCTTGGATATAATATACACAAGATTGAGAAAATTCATTTAAAAGAAAAACCTGCAGAGAACCTTGTGACAGCTGCAGACTGGTCATTTCAGACATTTTTGCATGCAGTAATTCAGAAGTTTACAGAATTAACCCCTTATTAAAGATTGAAATCAAAACAAATTTATCAGCTTTACTTTAATGTGCAAGAGATAACCCACTCCAGAAGTACGGCTCTGTTTAGAGATGATGCTTTTTTTTTTTTTTTTTGGGGGGGGGGGGGGGGGGGGTGTTGGTTGGTTTATTTTTTTTTTAAATCCAGCTGTTCTGGTCAGATACTTGTATTTAGCTGCAACACTAGAGAACAGGTACAGAAAAGTTTCACAACTATTGCCCCAACTCTCTACACTGCAGACACTGTAGCTGCAGAAACGGACAGGAAAGCTTCCCCATTTCAGGTCCAGACAAAAACATTTGAAATAAAGAATTGTTTTTAGTGGGGGGGTGTCAGACGCATGTAAAAAGGTTTTAACACACTAAACCTGTTAACCCCATGGAAATCAGGAAGTAAAATGTTATCTCTCCATGTACCCTCTGGCTGTGAAACAGCCAGCTCCTCAGTATTTCACAGGGCAGCAATGCATTTTAAACCCTTTAAAGAGAAAGTTGAAACAAAGGAAGCTAAGTGCAGGGTTAGTGCTGTACTTACCGGTTTCATGCAAGTTAAAAAAAAAAAAAAAGGACAAAGCCACGGGGAAGTGTGGATACTTCAGGCTCCTTTTAACATCCAATTTCCAGAGCACAAAAATTGTAGCTTTTAAAAGAAACCAGCAAACAGTTCTTACGTTGCAATACCTGCATGTGGGGGAACTTCTGTGAATCACACATTAGCAAACAGAAGCTGTGTAACTTCTCACTTTAACCCGAGGGCAGACCTCAGTTTGGTCAAGAGTAGTAAACAATATAAGCATCTTTTATGACAGCTCCATAACTGTTAAGTTTCTTTGTGTACCATAATACGACAGTGATAAAAAAAAAACCAAGGGTAACATTTGGTTTTTTAGGGTTTCTGATTATAGCTGTGTTGGTCTAAGGAGATAGGCAGGCAAGGTTCTTTGGGTAGATGTGATATCTTTTATTAGACCAACTGAGTAGCTGGAAAAAAGTTCTTAGCAAGTTTTCGGGTGAGCCCCCCCTCATCAGGTTTTTTTAAGCATTTAAAAAGAAATTGAAAACTTAAAAGCACCTGGGTGAGAAAATGCCGAGGTGCGACTTAGTAGCTAACAGTTTTGGCTCGGGTGCATTGTCTAGTTCTGAAAAATAGGTTGGATTACAAAAAAAAAGCCAAAAACAAAAAAAGCCAAAACCGGGGAAAAGTAAGAGTCCTTCCCAGGTATACAGTAGACTAAGTTTAGGAAAACCTTAAAAAAGCAAGATTTACCTACAGTTTAATGTGTGGATGTCAGCACCACAATATATTTGAATCTGAATGTGGTTATATACCTTGGATACCTAATGTAAGAAATTCCTCTCTCGTGACAGTGATGTAACAGTTCAAGAGACACATGCCTGAGCTTGGGGAATTAAACCAGCATCCATCGTCTCACTCAAGTTTAACGAAACACCAGTATGGATTGCAGAAGGAATTACTGCCACTTGCTATTCTCATTAACTCACTTGTTCATGGTGCTATTTTGGTGTAAGGAACATCAGACCAAGTTCATCTGATCTGCTACTCTGACTTTCAGCTTGAGGGCCAACTCTCCATCTTTGTTACTCTGGTACGAAACAGAGAGAATTCTGCTGACAACAAATTAAGCCTGTGCAAAGTCAATGGAAACAGAACTAAAACACCTCCACCCCTACCACGCTTAACCTGCCCAGTTCAGTTTGCTTTCACCTCGGCTAATCAGAATGAAAATAAAGAGGTTATGCCCGTTTTCCAGCTGACATATATGGAGTGGCGGTCGCACTGGCTAAGATGAAATCAAGGAAGGTAGTTGAACATCCTTGCTTTCAGAAACAGCAAACCCAGAATGCTGCAATTCTTTGTAAGCAGTCAAAACAGAGGTGGCCAACCTGCTGCATGAGTGCCAGAAGTGACATGCAGGAGACTGGAGAGGAAACAGGCAGCACGATGGCAGAATAGGGCAGGGAGCAGAAAGTACAGCATGGATCCAGCGAGGAGCACAAGGCAGGAAAGCAGAAAGCAGAGCAGCGCCATGTTCAGGGAGCAGAGCTGACCATAAGATTGGGTAAGGGAGAGGGACTGGAACGGCACTCAGAGAGCGTGCAGGGCTAATTTGTGGCATGCCTGCTAAAAAGATTGCCCCGCCACCCAGCTAAAACATTACATAATCCAATAGCTGCTTTCTAGGGCAGCATTGCTCAATCTCTGGGGCACGACCCAAAAGTGGGTTACAAAAATATATGAAAGGGTCACAAATTTAAAAAATGGGTACTCCTTTAAAGGAGAAAAGTGCAGGAAACAGTGGGCTTTTCCCTTGCAGGCTGGCAGAGCTCCAGCCTGTGAGTGGGCTGCTTGTGGTCCTCCATACCTCCCCCCTGCACCACACATTGGGGGACTAGGGGCAGTGGGTCAGGAATGAGGGGCACTAGGTCGGGACTGGCCATTGATGTTTATAAATAGGCCCTGATACAAAAAAGGTTGAGAACCACTGTTAAAGAGGAACCCAGAAGATGAAAGGCCTGAAAGGTGGCCAATTCAAACTTTTGTAGTTGCTTCATTAAAAAAAAACCCAACCCCCCCCCCCACTTGGCAGTTCAGCAAATGTTAATAAATCTCAACTTTAATATTTTCAACTTTGTATAGATGAGAATCCAAATTTAGTACATTCATCAACAGTTTTATGACTAACTTAATATTAAAATCCAGACTGCCAGTTTAAGGTAAACTGTGCAAGATAGTGGCTTTTTGCATATTTTCTCTATAGAAATCCTTCTGTGTTGCAGAAGGATTATAGCCCAATTTATCCCATGGCACATTTCTTACTTTTAATCTGCTTAAAGTACACACTTCAACTGCAGTAAGAAGTACTAAGACCAAGTTTACAAAAGGTATTAAGGTACATCTATACCTTTGTAAATCTTACCAATCTCATGCGAGTTACCAAAGATATTTAGAGAAGGATTTTTTTTTAAAAAAACAAAACTTTATTGTACAAAATGTTCCAAAATCAGAACAGGTTTCCTGCAGCTTTACTATGAATTTAATTCCATAATTTACACCTAAAATGCAACTCCAAAAAAGGCCAAAGAAAATAGGAAGACTAGTCTCATTTTCTTCCAATCCAGGAATGGTGAACAGGTACTGTCCATCTGTAGCAGCATCAACAGCATAAGTGGCATAATTTAACTAATTATTCTTTGAACTCCAAGAACTGCTGAAGTCTTTTCTTATGCTCTGTAGACACTTGCACAGCACTAAAACAAAATACAAGTTTAGAGCATAAGATTATGTTAAACATACTATGTCAACTTTAAAAACAAAAACCTCATGTCAAAACATTTTTAAGTATAAACTGGAACTAACAGTTGTGACCTCAAAATCTAAGAAACCCAGCTGTGTTATATAATAATTGTATACAATATAATTCAGATACTCGTCCTTCAATCTCCTTTGCTGTATAAAAGCATGTATTTGTTGTACAAAAGAAATAAAGCACTTATTTTGTACAAAAGGAATAAAATTGCAGCTACTAAAAAAAACGCAGAGGTCAGTTAATGCCATACCTTGAAACAGTCTAATTGTTTTCATTTAAAATGTTCATAAACTCATGAGATTGTTTATCTTAGAAGAATATTTTAAAAATACCTAGCCTATCAAGGTACAGAATCCCTTAGAAAGGAATTGTTGTAGAGCTGGCACTTTCAAATCTAATAGTGTGGCAGCCAAATGCCAGAAACCTGGAGGGTTTGCAGTGAAGGTAACTTCCACCATGATCAAACAGTATGCATGGGATCCCTGGACTCCAAGAATAATTCTCTCAGAATAATGCCATTGCCTCCATTTAGGAGAATGAGTTATTTCCCATCTATTTAGCTGAACATTGTTAGAGAAATGTCACATGGGGGTGCTCTTCATGTCATTCTACTTAGACCAGTGATTAGGGCCCTAACGAATTCACGGTGGAAATGGGCTGCACAGCAGCTCCTTTAATCTTGCATGTCCCCCTGTGGCCCCCTCTTCCCCCACCCCAGTTGCTCACTGGCTGAGGAGCCTGGCGGTCCTGCTGTTTACCAGCTGGGAGGCAAAAACAGCACAATTTTTAAAACTGTGGTCTTCGCCTCCCTGCTGATCAGGAGCAAGCCACGGGGCCCCTTCACCAGTCACCAGGGGTGTGCGGGAGAACCTGCAAGATTAAAGGAGCTGCTGCTCAGTGAATTCAGTAAGGCCCTACTAACGGTTCTCAATCAGCTGCTGGGCTTGTAATAAAATGAATTTGTTTTTTGAAATTGGGTGCCACAATTCACAAAAAAAAGTTAGAGGAACCCTCAAGTCCAAAAGGACTGAAAGCCACTGACTTAGATGCACTGTCATGTTCATTTAAACAGCAAGCACCAATACAAGATGACCTTACTTCAAGTGTTCTCCAAAAGTAGTTGTTATCCGGTATATGGCAGTCCTCAGGGATGCTCTAAGCCCAAACCGTAGTGTTTTGTAGGATGTATCCACCAGACTGCCTGAAATTCTTGGAGGTTTGCTGGAAACATGCGGCAGCTTGAAATGTTTATCTACAACCTGGATTGGGGGAAAAAATTAACAATTCAGCTAAATCCATTTCATAATGAAACTAGCAGCATGTCTGTTTCATTTAAAGTGAGCAAAGGAAGTCAGGAATGTTCACCATGGAAACATCCAAGGAAAAAACACCATGATTTGAGAGACAGCTTAATCTTCTGTTACCTGGCCATCAGTGAGAATAAAGGACATGGCTCTGTTAAAGGAGATCCTCTCTTGAATGGATTTTTTTTGATGCTGACATTTAACAAACACAAAGGTACTCTGCCCTGACTAATCTTTTAGAAATAAAGTAAGTAACTGCAAGTTTTTGGAATAAGTGCCCTACTGAAGAACTGTAATGACCTCTAAAATTCTGGTCTCAGAATCTTCCATTAAGAGGAGTACAGAATATTAAATTTTTCATAGATAGCACCCAGTGTTATCTTGGAGAAACACATCTCTGGTTACTTTTAGTACACACTCCCAAATACCACAGTGATATAATAATTCTTAAACAATCAGCAGAGAAACATGAAACAGGTCTCATCTCCTGAAATGTAATGGCTCTGAAATTGAAGTAGTTTGCGATAGACATGGAGGACTTTTGTAACCAAAGACAAAACCTGAACATTTTACGTTGGCATACTTGTATAATTGTTACTTCCCTGAAATACTATTTTTAGTTGAGCATATTGTGCCATTTAACAGGATATTGCATTTCAAAATCTGTTTTCTGATCACAATGGCAGTTTAAAAAAAATGAATCTAATTAGGTATTGATTCAGAAGCTGAGAAAAAGGAAACTAAATAACAAGACTAAATTTAACTGCTGGCTATGAAGAACAATTTTAGGTGAAGACACAATTCAATTTAAAGTCAAACAGCAATACAACAGAATAGGACCCTTCCCACCCTTCCTCCCAAGCTAGTTTTACATTAAGAGGTATTAAAGATCATCACCTCCTGAAGGGTCAGCAAGGTATTCAGAATAGCTGGCAGTGTAGTTTGGACAACTCCAAATTGATCTTCAGTAAATGATGCTGCTACCAAATGAGACAGACCTTAAAGGAAGAAAAGTCCGAGACAATTTATCTTACACTAGCCTTCAGAAATGGAAGCATCAGGCTGCACTAACAATTCAAGATGTCAGACCTCAGACACTGCTGCAGCACACTGGCACTTGGTTTAGTTGGGTACACAAAGATCCCACTAACGTGGGGGCATCCCTCAGAATGTACAACAGCCAGGAGCAAATGGCAGAAGTCCTGAGGCTGCTCTAATTTACTCCGTGGACTAAACCAGCCCCAGGTTTGACAGGCATGTGGTAAGGAGAAGAAAACATGGTGTAGATGTCTTTGCTATTGTCCTCCACTTCTCAGATGCCATGATGAATTGATGAGCGAGATCAGGGGAAGATGGTAAATTCCTTCTCAAAAAATGTTCCTTTATCATAATGCCAACACACTTTCTGGCAGCTCATCAGCTGTGTTGCCAGAGCATGAGCACACCCTAGGAAGACACCAGCTACTCAAGCCATAATGGCAGCAAGCAGAAAGCGTTGCAATGTCTACAGATGCCTTCTGCTAGTTGTCAAGAGGCAGTAGAAGCTGCGCTCGGTTTGGTAGAAATGGAGTAGATTTCTAAGCAGAAAGGCAGGTTTTGAAAATGCAAAGGGGCTGTGGACGTGACGGCACTGAGAGTTTGTAGCAGAGAGGAGGTCTGCATCAGTGCAAATAAGCTTACATGAGAAAGCTCTCTTTGGCTCCATTTCCAGAGTAATGGGTACAGTAAGCCTGAAACTGAATCTGTGTGTTCATTACAGTCACCTCAAAGCAAGAACTAGAATAAATTCAAATAGAAATTTCTTACCTTCTAATGCCCAAATGTGCATTTGAGCATCAGAAAAGACAGCTTGGATTGAGGCCTCCGGATGCTATGGAGAAATCATAATTTCCTAAGTGCATGTTTTTTCACGTTAGCCATCAAAACTGCTTTTTTTCCCCAATTAAGAGTACGGATATTATTTAAAGGCTATACACGCATGTCTGTACATACACAGGTACCCAGTGCAGCCCCAGTCCATAAAGATTTGCTACAGAATTTTGACATTTCTAAGCAAGCAACAGTAGATGGTGCAGAACCCTAGACCCAGCCATTCCCCTGGACTTTCCAGTATCTAGGCATTTATAGTATGCTCCTGTCCATCATGGATGAGGTGTTCCTTTACATGCATCTGTGTGCCTGTACCAGATTACATCACAAAACAATTATTTCAAAATATCAGTAACATCTTCTGCATGATATGGCAAGCAACTGGCAATTCTGTCCAGTTTCTCTCTATATAGGAAACCTGCTATGCCTACCTGAAATCTGCCAGCTTCACCAGAGTCGAGGGAAGCCAGGAAGGAACACCTAGCAGCTCTGTGCTCTCATACTAGCTACGGCCCTACAAGGGACCTCCATTCTCCTGAAAAACAGTTACCTACGGAAGCCATGCATAGGGCTCCACACACTTAGCAGGGCTTCTTCTCCGACTTCGAACACGCATCCCCATCCCATTCACTGGCCCTATTATCCACTTCAAACCTCACAATGGGCTCCGCAGATCCAGAAAAATAGATTGTTTCATGTATAACAGAACTCCTCCTTTAGAGAGATCTGTACACAGAAGGCCCCCGTCCTGAGGGCATGACCTGCTTTTGGATTAAGGTCAAGGTTTATTTAAAAGCCATGCAAAAACACACACACATACACACCAGCATGAAGGGAAACCTTTTGAATAATTCCATCAAGTACACTTTCCACATGGAAGAACAATATAAACAAATGAGACCAGAAAACCAAACTGACATCATTTAAAAACGTTGAATACTTCACAAAAAGTTTATGATGTGTCGGCACGCTTAAAAAAAAATGTTTACAACACTATTGCCATACCTGCTCACAGAACTCATGCGTGAAATCTGCTGTGCTGCACTCATTCTACCAGAATCAACCTACTGAATTCTAGCTTTATTTAGTATAGCAAGAAGCAGTGTTATCTAGTACTTGGTACACTAAGACAGTCAGGATTCTTGGTATTTTTAGATTCTAACCTTGGCACTTACATTAGGTAGAACTTTGAGAAAGTTATAATGTATGTATTTCAGTTTAGTCTGTATAGAAATATTACCCTTTTTAACTGAGTAGTGTTGGGAGGCTTCATTATTAAGTGTAAGAGGTCTTAGAAATATAAAAAGCTGCAAGACTGGGGAAAAAAATTATGATTGTAGAAAGCACTGAAAACAGTAGAGGTGCACTGATATATCAGTGCCATATTGGATTGGTACCGATAAAAAGAAAATTAATGTTATCGGCTTTTTTTGCCCGGCGTAGCTGATAACATGCTGATAAATAAAATATGCCTTCTGGCCAGGGCTCCCAGACACCATGTGTATGCTTGCAGCTACAGCATGCACACGGCCAGGAGCACAGTTGGACAGTGTGGAGAGCAGTGCCCTGCAGTTAAGCCTGTGGAGGGGAAGTGTGTGGGGGGTAGCAGGGAGAAGCAGATTGAGGCCCCCATGGTGAGGGATGGAGCGAGGCTGGGGGCGCTGCCCAGCCAGGGCAGTGAATGGGACCCCAGGGCCAGGGAAAGGGATGGAGCCAAGGACAGCTCATCCAGGGGGTGCATGTGCCCCCCCAAGATGTGTGCATGGAACAGGTGGAGGTGGGCTGCCCTCTGTAGGCTCGGGGCTTTCCAACCTGCTGCCTTTACCCTGGGACCCCCGAGCACACAGCAAGCAGCCTGCCTTGCCTTCACACCACTCGGTTCTGCTCCTAAAAGCATCCCTTGTGCTCAAGCGTCTCTACCATTTTTAAGCACCGGGATGCTGATCCCCTGGATGAGCCTCTCACAGCTCCATGCTGCTCCCTGCCCTGGCCCCAGGGTCCCATTCACCACCCTGGCTGGGCAGCACCCCCAACTCCAGCTCTACTCTCTCCCTCACCATGGGGGTTTCGATCTGCCCCTCCCACGCCTTTTCCCCTCCACAGACTTACCTACAGGGAGCTGCTCTCGATGCTGCCCAGCTGTGCTACTGTAAAACTGGCTATCGGAATCGGCTGATACACCTAGTGAATAATCAGCTATTGGTATCAGCCAAGAAACTCTCTATTGGAGCTCCCCTAGAAGACAGCATTAGAACCTGTTCCTGTTCATGTTTCTGCTCTATCCAAAGGTCCAATAAATGTAGCCATAATTACCTTGCTGAAGAAATACATGACCAGCACTCGTTTTGACAAGAAACTTCTTATCTGAGTAGGAGAGAAAAACATTTAAAAATACATATTTTACATTATACAGTGTATTATATACAACATTTCTGGTGTTAAGTAGCCAAATCCATTCAAACTTTACAATTATGTCAAGGTAAAACTTTTAAATAACGGGCTGTTTTTTAAAGAGTTAGGTCAGCTGATCAGAGGAAAATGTGATCATACAATGAAGTTATATTTCTGAAGGAAACACCCAGTATGCCACATATAAGACCAAACTGATTTATACCACAACTCTTACTGTACCTGCTCCTGTTTGTTCTGTAGCCACATATACATAAAACTTGGCTGCTCTGCTTCATGACCAACTCTTGCAACAGAGACCATTGGGAAGGATGGCGGGTAAGAACCATTTGTTTGCAGATCTACAAGAAAAACCGAGCCCATTTAGAAAAAAATAGAAATCTCTACAAAGCCAGTATGACCCAAAAGAATCTGCACAATTAAGCCAATGTTTCCATTATACATAAGAGAAAAAGCAAGGTAACTGGACCAGAATGGCCCCCACCTGAACTTGATGTCCACAGCTTTGGTCCTCTTCTCATAATATGAGGGCTTTGAACTGATCCATGCCAAGGAGAATTTAAATCCAGGATTCCAGGCTTGCGATTTAGAGCAGGAGAAGTGAAAGGTGAGCCAAAAGAGCTTCCAAGGTCTGATGCAGTTGATGTCTTTAAAGGCGACAGGGATTTAACCAGGGAAGGCATGTGAGTTCTAGGTAAGACGTTAGACCTTTGTGTCTGAAAAGCCATTTCTTCTATAACAGCTGCTCCTGATGATAAACAAATACATATGGGCTGGTATGGGTAAATGCAATACAGACTAGGCACATCTACACGAGAGGGTTAATGCACAGAAAACTAAATTCAACTGTGCATTAGCATGGCAGGCACAATCCATGCGCAGTAGAATGAATCTACTGTGCATTAGTGTCACCAAAAAGCCATTCGTCTGCGCTAATGCGCATTAGCTCCAGTTACAGCACATTAATGAATGTGTAGACGTGCCCACTATCAGTCTGTTTCCTCCAAAGCTTGTTAACTCCACCATACTTCATTTCTGCTGAGTTCTTAATGTAAGATATATTTCCATTCCAATACAGACTGCATTTTACTATGTGAAATGCATTTAGAAAGAACCCACTAAATAAGATGGCTTTGGCTTAGTCTCTACCTTAAGGATATTCCTACAGCAATACAGGCAGTCCTCGACTTACATTGTTTCAAGTTACAACATTTCACACTTACAGTGTTTATAAATTGACACCATTTCAACTTTACAACGCCAGTTTCGACTTGCAACGATTGACCTGATGCAATGCCATGCCAGCGTCACTCATCTCCCTGGAGAACATCTGTCCAAACTTCCTTGGACACTTTCTTTAAGAAAGCAGACAAGACTCCAGAAAAACCTGCAGCCAAGAGCGCTTCAAAAAGTCCAGCAGTCACCTCAAAGAAGTCCTTCCAAATCAGTATGATTGCTATTTACAATATAAATATATTAATGTAGCTATATTATTTATCTATAATTGATAGAGTACAAAATTCTGGAGTATTTTTTGGTGAAAACAGGGTATCTGGCCTTGGTTCAGGAACCAATCCCCCATTTATAACTTTATTTCTTATGAGAAAATTGGTTCCGAGTTGCAACGTTTTGACTTAAGACGTGGTTTTCAGGAACCAATTGTGTCGTAAGTCTCAGGACTGCCTGTATTGAGTGAATCACAGAAAAATATTCCCCAAGACTTTTCAGCAATACATGTTTCACCACTGTAAACTAGCAACAGTGAATCAGTAGTTACAAATGTTTCTATCAAAATTTTTAGGGGGCTGTTCAACAAGTTCCATCACTTGATAGGCTGACTTCCTAAACCTACGTAAATGAGAAACAGTGTGAGGGAATGCTGTCAAATGCACTAAAAGTGAAAAAAGTGATCTCTCTTCAAGTTCCACTTTAATTAATCTTTGATGCTATTGTAACAACACGCACACATTCTTTAACCTGCGTTCCTTCAAATACTTAACATAATCACTTGGCTCCCTGTGTCATTCAATTTATACTAGTGTTATAACATCCTCCATTGCACTCTACTGTGTCTTGTTAATTACAGGTGTAAACCACTCTGTAACAGTTACTGTGAAATATCTTATGTAAAAAGGTACCTGGAAAGTTCAGGGGTTTGTTTACTTCCCCTGGAGATGGCTGTTTTATTCTCCCATTTGTAGCCGCAGCTTCCTGGTGTATAATCAGCTTCTGGGTTAAGTCACTCAAAAGATTCAAGCACTCCCGTGATATTGCTGTCCAGTTGTGGGGATGCCCACCTAGTTAGGTCAGACAACAAATACTTGAAGAGGTGTTCAGTGGTTTCAGTCAAGACGCACATCACCATGCCTGTTTTGATGGTACTTATTTACATTCTGCTTTTTCCATGTTTAGTATAATCTTACAGAATTACCCAACATATACTTAATTCGAAAAAAAAAGCATGCTGCATTTTCACCAGAAGTTTCTTGTGCCCAAATATGCACAGGGACACAGATACTGGTTCAAACTGTAAATGTCCAGCCTATACACACAACTCCTGATGACTTCAGTGAGAGCTGCATAGGTATCCTGCAAGGCAGAATTTAGCCCATTAGATTTTAAACTCACTAATTTTTGGTCTTGTAAGTTGCTTGTCAGCTAGTTTCAACACCGTTTATTACCACAGTGCATAAGCAACAAGAACGCCTGATGAAGTGCAAAAGAGTCCCTGATGAAAGCAAAAGACTTCTAATGGACCTCCTACAGCATATTTCTGTATATTTTAAGAGGTTTATATACCAGTCTAAATCATAGCCGTTATTTGCTTGCACAACTGGGGAGTGACTCACAATTTATGCTTCATTTCATGCCACTCACATCCTGATACTAAACTGTTATACACATCTGTTGTTATATTATTATTATTATTATTAGATTCGTTCAATTCGTGATGTCAAGAATACCCTTCTTTGATACTCTGCAACCTATGTTTCCTCACAGTTGTCATTTAAATCAAACAACAGAAACCAGTATTTGTTAAGTTTAGTAGATGAAACAACAAAAAGAGGGCTTTTCCAAATAGGTACTTTTGCTTAGGAGTTCTTTTGGCTTATACAGCAAGCTTCCAAGTATGAGATCATTTCTAAAAAATTCTTACCATAACAACAGTCTTGAAAAAGTTTAGAATCACCACAGATTTATTTTGGTAATACCTGGCTGACTAAGGCTGAAGACTTCTTGACGTCGCACAGGAGAATACTGGGAAAGTAACATCAAGTCCTGTAAGGCCAAGAACTGAAAAGGAGGGAAATATTTTAATGCATAAAAGGGGGGGGGGGGGGGGGGGAATCAAGTTGATCCCTTAAATATGAAGTCATTAAAAGCCTATTGGTTTTTAGATTTTAGCAAGGAATTTGAGTATTCCCACAAATGTAGTTCCTAATAGAGTCAACAGGATTTGTTTACATATACTGTAACCACAGGTAAAATTCAGCTATTAATATTTTTTCTCCCTTAGTTTAGAAGATTGCACATGCAGAGAATAACTCCTTTACTTTCGCCACAGGAAAGTCGCTTCAGATTGGGGCTCCAGAGCGAGTCAACTTCACAGGAAATTTTGTATGCTTTAGACTGCTTTCACTGATAGGCAAACTGGAACAAAGTGTCATTCTTAGCACTAACAAATAACTATACAGACAAATTACACTGGCATTTATAAGCAAATTAACACATGATTTTATTACGGCACTAGGATCTCATTGCATGCCACCTGAAATTGATGTCAGGCCTGCCCTGGTACTGAAGTCCAACTGCTTTTCTGATCAAGGAATGAATGTGACAAGCCCACAAACAGCTAATTGTCTCAAATCTTGCAAATGTAGTAAGAGCCAGTTATTAATACAATTTTAGTCAATGCTAATATTACAAATGTAAAGTACAACTATTAAAGACTGGGGTTTTGTTTGGGTTGTTTTTTTGTTTGTTTTGTTTTGTTTTGTTTTGGTTTTTTACAGACTAGGGTTTTCACCCTTTAGTTCTGCTGATGAACCTGTCTTGCTCTAATCCCCTCTTTCAGAATACAACACAACCAGAAGAGTAGGAGCTATACTTCATGTCTGTAGCAACACTAGATGTATTATGAGTCTCTGATATTATTAAATGCAGCCAGGGTAAATAAAAATCATGGTTTTTTTATTTAATTTAAATCGGATTTTTTTAAATTTAATCATATTTATTATTTTTTGTTAAGCTGCTTGTTTAAAAAAAATAAACCTATATATAGTTTTAATTTAAGATGTTAGAGCTCAAAAATATCATCATAGAATATAGATTATAAATTTTAATTATATACTGTTTGAGACAATATATTCATGCAACTTTTTAGAAAAGTTTTATAAATAGGTCACAACAGGCCATTGACTATATTAGGGGCCGAATCTTATGGGTTCCCAGAGGCTCCTCTATAGATTAGTAAGGATTAAAGAAAACCACTTTACCCAATGGGACTCAGTGCTCAGTCTAGAAGATCCCACTAAGCATTTCTGTGATGCTTAGTTTCAGTCTCAAACTGGAATTGTCTCTCCAGAGATAACATCCTTGTTAACAGCAGTATAACGAGTTAAACAATAACAGGCCTGATTACCTATCCATCAGCCTCTTGTCTTTCTGCAAGTTTGTGTACAGAGTCAAGCCCTTACCTCTCTCTAAAAGTGCAGTTTCAAGAAATTAAATGAATAGAGGATTATTGGGGGTGGAGTAGATCTGGGCAAGGAGGAAGAATCTGGAGATAAGTGCAAGGGGGGGCAGTAGAAACAAAGGAAAAACATTTTGAGCAGAATATTTCAGAAGTCTTGAGGGATAAGTTTCTGAGTCTAGCCTCACTAGATCTCAAAATCAATGGAGAGGGAATGGTATGGTAGAGGGAAAACCTATCATGGTAGCAGGCTTGCCAGGCCATAAAAAAATACCGTTTGGGAATATGTTAACAAAGGTTATATCAAACAACAAGAATGCATTTTTTGTAGAAAACAATGATTAAATCAAGGCTTTCTGACCAACTATATATCGTGATTAAATCCACCCTGAACACAGCACTTGCTGGTACCAGAAAGTGTCCTGAGTGCCCTAATTTAAAACATCACCTTGAGACCTCACACCTTAAAATAAGAATTTAAAGCAAGAAATTGGGTTAAACACTAATTTTTTTTAAAATGTAGTCACTTCAGAACAGCTTCACAGTTACCACTGGCAAACTCAAATGAATTTTGCCACTAAAATACATGAAAAGTTAGGTTTTTTTGTATTACCCTATTTCAAGATGACTTTTTATTTACTTTTAAGAAACTATGAAACATCCAGGAAAAGATGTGCAGCACTGTGAAAGTGTCAAAAGCATAAAGAAATGTGGTATAAGAATGAAATTTAATAAGTAGAGTGTGTTCATTCATTTGACAGAGAAGCTAAAACAGTAGATTAAAAAGAAAGTAAATGGATTTTCATGCCTGGTCTATTTAACAGTAGTATACATATACTCCACAGAGTAATTAAGACACACTCCATTTCTAACTAAATGAATTCAGTTCAACCAGCAATCCAGTTGAGCAAATACACTAAGCTGTCATTATAAAACAAACTTCTCTGGAAGTGTTGCAAAACGCTTCTGACTGTTATGAATTTGGCTGGTTTTTTTAAAGATGTTTCATAGTTTCATAGTTGGTAGGGTTGGAAGGGACCTGAGGAGATCATGTAGTCCGACCCCTTGCCGTGGCAGGAAAGAGTACTGGGGTCAAACGCCCCCGGCCAGATGTTCGGCCAGCCGTTCGTCCAGCCTTTTTTTAAAGACCCTCAGGGTAGGAGCCAGCACCACTTCTTTTGGAAGTTAGTTCCAGGTCCTAGCCGCCCTGACAGTGAAACAGCGCCTCCTAATGTCTAGCCTAAAACTACCCTCCGCTAGCTTGTGTCCATTGTTTCTTGTAACTCCCAGGAGTGCTCGGGGGAACAGGGATTCTCCCAATGCCTGCTGGTCCCCCTTGACTAGTTTGTAGACTGCCACTAGATCCCCTCTCAGCCTTCTCTTTTGGAGGCAGTTTAGATTGCTGCTTAAATCATTCATGATCCATGGAAGACTTCTCAGTAGGAGATGCTCTATTTAGTAGGGCACCCCCCTGGAGTAACTAGGAACAATGGCCACAAACTGATGGAGAGCAGATTTAAGACATCAGGAAGAATTTCTTTAGGGTAAGGCTTTCCGGAATCTGGAATGGGCTTCCAATGGAGGTGGCGCTCTCCCTTACCTTGGGGGTCTTCAAGAGGAGACTGGACAAGCACCTAGCTGGGGTCATCTGACCCCAG